CCCTCACATTACAAAAAGGGCAAACTCCATCCTCCATCGTGCTGGCACTGGACCTAAATCATGAGCTGCACCACCTTCCTCTATGCACATAATTACCAGGCTGATACCGGGGCTGAATTATGCACGAGCCTGAAGGTATCTGTCTTGAATACAAAACTCTGCACGGTCACAGAGATTTAGTGACTCATTTTGGATAATATTAAACTGTCTGGTGAAATGGCACAGAACCAAACCCCCCCCACATGATTCAGTGTAATCCTTCAAACTGGCTTATTTATTGAGATCATTCCTCCTACGAGCTCAGTGATCTATTTGAATCTTTAAAGGCCAAGGATGAGAGAGATGTTACAACACCAGATCCTAAATGTCTATCCACACATTTGTTTGCTTTGGGTTTGTAGTCCGAGTAGTGTTGACCAATCATGTATCAGCAGGCTTGATGTGAGGTCAGAAATGATCCAACGTTCGTTCAACAAACAATGTTTTAAAAATAGTTTTCTTCTCCTCGAGAGGACAGACCTGACAAAGACTGACTTTTTACTTCTTACAAATCTGCATCACGATGAGGCGAAAAGCTAGACTGTAAATATTAATGTGTAAAGCCTGAGTGACGTCACCCATCTGTTCCTGCAGGGGGCGCTGGAGGCTCATCGATGGCGATCGAGACATGAGCTAATCAGACCTTTTTTGTTTTTTTGAACCAGGCTGTAAACATGTTAATCTCTGCTGTAAAAAAAAGGCTTCTTTTGAATTGGCGTGTATGTGACTTCCTGTGCTTCTGCAGCCAGCCTCTAGTGAACACTTGAGGAACTGCAGGATTTTACACTTCAGCATTGGCTTCATTTTTTTTCACTTTCACATTTGTGTGGGCTTTTCTACTCTAAGTGACCCTAAACTACAAGGACAGTAAATTTCATTTGGAGTCATGCTAGCCCACATTTTTACAAACAGAACTCAGGAGTCGGTCATTGTTGTTCTAGTCCACCGAGTCGTGCATGGCTACTGACTGGAACAGTAATGCACATGTGTGAAATGTCTCCACAAATATTGCCAGTTTACACGACGACAGTGACGGTTACAAAACTTACTAAAACCATTTTTAAGCTCTCAAAAAGTATTTTTCATGTAAGCAAACATTTGAAAAGAACAAATCCTGCACACCACTTTTGCTAAGTATCACCAATTTATTAGAAAAAATCACAACGTTTCCGTCCCTCTGAACCTTTGTCAAGCGATTTTTTTCTAATAAATTGGTGATACTTTGTTGTCCTACCCACCGACTTAATGAGATAGTTGGATTTGCGAACACTTCTGCTGCAAATTAAAACTGGAAATGATGCAGCGAGCAGAAAAGGAAGTGTTGGTGCTAACCAACGAATCACCTTGAAGTTGGCTGTCGTTTCCAGAGGATTGAAATCGTCACCAGCTGGGTTCTCAGATTGAGCAGATCCAAAAAAAGTTTCCTCTTTCTTTAGCTGTGCCTTGTTGCATATTCTTTTAATTACACTGTAAAACCACGACTTGACTTTAAGAGGATTAAACGTTTATCATTCCAACACCAGAGGACGGGCACAAAAAGAAAACTGCTTTGTTTTCTTCAAAGGCGCCATCCCAACAGCACTCTGTGCTCCTTTAAGCTCCGCAGTTAAGTTTCATGTTTGTCTTAGCAGAACAAGAGCGAGGACGTGTGTGTGTGTATCGTGACAGCTGGTTACTAGGACAAGCTCGGAGTGCTACAGGCGAACCGAGTCTTCGTAGGCTTAGCATGACACAGGATCTCGGGGATATGGTTGTGGTGTAGCAGGGCTGCCGAGGGCCAAACTCACACTGAGAGATAACTGTACTGCAATTATAGTCAGCTGGAGCGCTGACAAGAAGGAAAGTGGGTCAGAAAGGAGTGTGTGTGTGTGTGTGTGTGTGTGTGTGTGTGTGTGTGTGTGTGTGTGTGTGTGTGTGTGTGTGTGTGTGTGTGTGTGTGTGTGTAAAATCCATCTGTTTTTTCAGTCAGCGACACTGAATCTTTAAAGCTTTGTGTTAACAGTACTACTCTGCATAAATCTGTCACATTCTCACAAACCTCTTCAGCTAATCTTGTGGAAACTTTGTTATTGCCTTGGCGAGCCGCTCGTTCCTCTCTCTCTCTCTCTCTCTCGCTCTCTGAGCTCACAGTCGGCCGTGATTTAAACCGTCAAACCCCTGAGTCAAAACAAATCTTCCAAACTACAACCCAGCGAGACGATTTATCTCTGTTTATCTCTGACCTCCCACATCGTCCAGGGTGGTTCAGCAAAATAATTTTCTCCATCTGAAACTTAAAGAACTTGTCGTACACACACAACGAAGAAGTATTGCAAAGCTTGCAGATGAACCGGCTGTTTCTGTGTCTGTACCTTTAAATATGTAAATGAGCTGTGTCTGACCACGCCCCCTCTCTGGAAGGGCTCGGGGTGTACTCGGGCTTTCTCGCTCCATGTCCTATTCTTTACGGTGAGAAGGCAGACTCAGAGGGCAGAACAAACACCTAGCTGTGGGAGTGTCACCCACCTGGGGGAGGGGCTACTGTCCTTTGTGATGTCATGAAGGGAAAATCTCCAAACGGCCTGTTTGAGCACACATTTTCTGAAAAGTGGAGCAGGAAGAAGACGGAGAGGATGGACTTTTCTCATCATTGGGGGGTTTGTAGACAGACTAGGGACACATATTAGAGGAACATGGGGAAGTGGATTTTACAGAATGTGTGACCTTTAAAGTGTGACGATTGAAGTGGTAAAACACAACTCAGTGCCTTTCATTTCAAGTTACATGAACAGAAACCTCTTGGAATGAGAAACACATTTGAAGCCTTTAAATGTGATTAATACTGTGCCTTCAGGAAGTGTCTTTCAGGTTGATGCGCTCTCAGAAACAGAAGCAGACATGCTTGAAAAACTCGCCACTCTTCTGCACACCTGCAGCCAATTACCACCCAAAGCGTCTGATCACTCTTGACTCTCGGGGTCTAATCAGCGCTGCAGCTCTGTGAAGGATTCTGTGAGGCACGTCCTGTGTCACCCATCGGTGCAGAGTGTTGGAGTGTTACCGTGAAGCAGGAAATTAACAAGATTTGAACTCGAGCCATCTTTGCATTTCGAGGCTTTAGATTTCTTTTTTCACATACTTCCTTAGCGCGTGTTGTGAAATTTGAGCTGTGACTGGGTTGACTCGGCCCCCCCGTCCTTTCTTTGGTGAAATCTTATTTTTCAAACACGAGTCCTTAGAAGCTTTGTTCGGTTGATCTGACCCATGCATGGTTCACATGATGACGCATTTCATCTGGCTTTAAGATGAGCGTCTGAATGGATCTGTTGAGGGTAAGCCTAAATCGTTTTCATAGCTGTCCTGCCGAGTGTCAGTTTTAGTGTAAATGTAACAAATATGTTTCTTCTGTTTATGTAATTGGCTTCAGTGGTGAGTCTGGAGTCTGTTTGGGCCCCTTTTTCCTCTGCTGACTGTCATTGCACAATGTAGGTTTATACATCACAGCTACAATACAGCACATCAAGAGTGAGGGCCGTCATATGGGGCCATCTTAGGGGGGTTTCTGTCATTGCAAACTTTGCACATTGTGAGCCACTGCAGGGGTTTAAAGTTTGTCAAACCTGGGATAAATAAAGTTGTCTAAATCTGAATCTGAATCTGGCTTGTGTCCCTTTAGCACGTCTCTCTGTGAAGCGTTTTGGATCTTGTTAACCAGCCAGCTGTTGAGTTAGCTTTAGCCAAAGATTGTTCAATGTTGTTAATTTGTGTTTCGCTTCTCTCCAGCTCCTGTCCAGATAAGTTCACTGACATATCAGTGGCTTCGTCCACTTTGACACAATCTTCAGTTTTTCTTTGAAAACTTTAATTTTCTTGAGAATCAAAACATTTGCAATAAGAACGTCTTGATATTCTGAAACTTTGTCCGTTTAATTCACACCTTGAATATGTGACTGTTACCTGCAACTATCTGAGTCCCAGAGGCGCTGCTTGGGGCCCCAGGCCACTTAGGGGCCCCGGAAGGCTGAAAAATGTTAAACCACAGCAGTAGTCCAAAATGCACAAATTTTGCAACAACAATAGGAAACCTCGCTAATGGGGCCCTATCTGAAATCACTCACTCTCATTGCCCTGCTTGGTACATCATGTATTAATCTTGTGAAAACCAAATTTGGTAAATGAAACTCACCAGAAGAGGAAGAGCCCTGTGACACTGCTAGATATAATAGTGGTTGGAGGGGCCCCAGCAGACTCTAGAATCGACACTGCCGAGTCTATGAAAGAAAGAGGAGGGGGGAAACTGTTTTATCCGGTCTTTTGATTGACAGTTACACGAGTGTGTGATGATGTGTGTGCAGACAGCGATGATAAATGAGTCCCAAAATCCAAACATGAAAACTCATTACTGTGTTTTCTCCCCAAACATCGTCCAGCTGTCCTTACATCTGGCTTTTGTAGCATCTTTTTCTTTCTACCGCCACAAACTGTCACTCTGTTGGTGCCTTAAGACAACATGAACGCACATGTCGGACTTCTGTTAAGATGTTTTTTTATTTTTTTTTAGTTGTCGACTCAGGTGGATTCAGTAGGAATGTTCATGCAGTTTGTAAACACAACATTCAAACTGGGCCCCTCCTCCTCCTGGGCTCATCTCCCCCTGCTGTTCAAACTGCAGGATGTAGTGTGTATGTTTACCGCTTGTAGCTACACTGCAAGCTAACGCACGCTAGCACAAGCTAACCGCCGGTGTTTGTCACCTGCCTGTCCAATAGGAAGTAGACCAACTCCACGTCCACGGGTAAAAGACAACACAAGGTTCACCCTCGTTTCAGAATGACTGAATCCACTCCTGAACTCACCGGCTGCGCTGTCATTGGCTGGAGGAAACACACCACCTCCCCGCCCAGAAACATCCCGTGTCAACCGGAACATTTGTTACAAATAAACACATAATATTACTAATTTATTTTTCATATCATTTGTAGGTTCTTTGTCAACTTCCCATCGGCCAAACAGTATTTCAGCCAGTTCCAGGACATGGAGGATCCAGAGGAGATGGAGCGAAGCAGCCAACTCCGGCACCATGCCCGCAGGGTGATGAACGCCATCAACACCGTGGTGGAGAACCTCCATGACCCGGAGAAAGTGTCCTCAGTGCTGGCCCTGGTTGGGAAGGCCCATGCGATCAAACACAAGGTGGAGCCCATGTACTTCAAGGTAACGCTCAGGAATGATCCGCTTTTAGAGTTCAGAAGTCACCTGAACATGATTATCTCACATTCTACTTCACGAGGTTATTATATTCCTCAGAATCACATTTAAGGCTTAATTCAGACCGGCTCTGTGTTCGAGGCGTTGCGGCGCTGTCATGTCATTAACACAGGCTGCGTGTGTGGGCGGCGTCCCCGTGCTGTTAAACCTCAATAATTTCTTGGCTTTATGAATGTTAGAAAGATTTATTATTTACAGGAATGGATGGAGAGCTGGTTGTCAGCCCTGTGATTGACTGGCGACCAGTCCAGGGTGTAACCCCGCCTTCTCGCCCAGTGACAGCTAGGATATGCTCCAGCCCCTCACCCCCCCCCCATGACCCTGAACGGGAAAAAGTGGAATAGATAATGGAAGGAGGGATGTAAAGAGTGAAAAGGCATGTGCTCTACTGTGATTCAAAATAATCTTTACAACATAACCTATAAATCTCTTCACCTGACCGGGATGTGTGCCACATTCAAGGATCATTTCGAGCGACTTTGCACAAGTTTTTTTTTGTTTTTTTGGGGGTCAGGGCTTATCAGAAAGTTATTTTATTCAGCCTTCAGGACGGTTTGATACGACTGAGGCTAAAAGCCAAAAATTCACAATTTGAGACATAATGACGTCATCAAGCAGGTAGTGGCGGGTGGCCAATAGGGAGACGGCTAACAGATTATCTACAATGTGTTTGACCATGCCACCAGCTGTTTGAAATCACCGGTATGAGAAAAGAAGCAGCATGACCATCATCAGGTGTTTTGTCACCTTCCATTTGATCGGGATGATGTTTGGGAAAGTGAAGAGTGAGCAAACACAGAGCATTTCATTCCTGCTGAAAAGGATTCAACTCAGACGACTCGTTGTTTGCATTTGTCTGAAATATTTATTGCAGCAGCAGATTAAAGTTTGTGTTTGGCGTCGAGGCTCCGACCTCATCTCTCCTCGCAGTTTTATTTAGCATGCAGCAATGTGAGGAGCGATGAGATGATATCTTTAATCTTTAGAAAATGGATGAATAGATTGATGGACATGTTTAAGTTGTACAACAAGAAATCTCCTCCTACTTTTCTCAGCTGTGGAAAAAGTAAAAACGAGTCATGTTCTACAACATGTTCTGAATCTCCTCGTCTGGCACGTACCCATTATGACATTATTGAGTTTTTATGCTACAAGTGCTCAACTACCACACAGTATTCCACATATTACCCCTTTATATTTCAGCTTCTCCTTGTATATATTTCACCTTCCCTGTTGTCCTCGCTATACCTTTTTCAATTCAACTCCCTTCATATCGCCTGTCCACCCACTGCTCTTATCGTTTTCAATTCTCACCTGTCGCCCGCTCTTCTGTGATGCTGGATTGGACTCCTTTTCTTCCACCTCTCTGCACTCACTTTCCCCCTCTGAGTTTTTAATTCTCTGCAATACTTGCTTTTCCTTCCAGCTGCTGTTTAAACACGATAGCCACCTATTCCCATTCGCCCCTTAAAGCCGACATTTTTTTTTTTTTTCATCAAATTTTCTCTCTCACATTCCTTCTTCCTAGATCCTGAGCGGTGTGCTCCTGGAGGTGTTGTCTGAAGATTTCCCCGAGTACTTCTCGGCGAGGTGCAGATGGTGTGGACCAAACTGATGGGAGCGGTGTACTGGCATGTGACGGGGGCCTACACGGACGTGGGCTGGCTCCAGGTCTCCAGCTCTGCAGTGTGAACAGTTTTGGGTGAAGAGGGGCTCGAGAAGTCTCAGATACAGGAGTTTGGTTTCACAGACATGGATGAGATGATCGTGGTAATCCGTGAGACGTACTTTGTTTTTGGTTTTATTTGTTGGTGCTAAGCCGTCATTGTTGTGTTATTCCATCTAACTTTCAAAACGATGTAGCTGAACAACATTTGACTTGTCTTATAGCGAGTTTTAGCCGATGTAAGCAGATATGTGTGTGTTAAGCCACGGAGGCAATCACCTCTAACGCTAACCATTCACTTCTTCTATTGTCAATTCAAAGAGCTGCCAAGATGGGCGAATCAGAAAGCTTGAAATGACTAGAAGATTTTACTTTACGTTCCACAAATGTTAACCCTTTGCTGAAATGAGTTCGTCTAACTTTAGATTCTGCTCCTGAATGCTCTGGATTTGTTTGGACCAGAGAAGGTAGGCGGTTTTAAGGCGACCCCCCCACACGGCCGTTTTGGACGCCCCTTGGTTTGCCAGATATGAGAGCAGTTATCAGGTCAAACCAACAGGTGTTGCAGCGATGGAAGCGGGCAAGAGAACTGGTTCAGATAGAAGTGATTGTACCCGACCTAAAAAGCCGATTTCTAGTATTGGGGTGCCGGTGCAGTAGTGGTAAAGACGCTAGGAGCAAAAAAATGAGACAAACAACATTAAAGGAGCACTACGTAACTCTGACACCTAGTGTTTAAAATGGGCATTGCAGTCTAAATTCTAAACATTATAGAGAGCTGTCTCCCCCCCGCCCCCCCTTCTCTTTAGAGTGGATGCTCACTCAGGTCACCATGTGGTGGACTCTGAAGCTTCAGTGTTTATCCAGCTCTGCATGGGTCTGTAAACCTTTCTGTGTTCTAACCTCTCTCCATTTTTCAAAAGTATCTCCAGTATTGATCCTAGTTTGAGCACGTTTCTGCTCGTGGAGCTTATTAGAAACATGCAGAGGCTTTTTAGGTCGGGTACAATCACTCTGTATCTGAACCACTTCTCTTGCCCGCTTCCATCACTGCAACACCTGTTGGTTTGACCTGATAACTGCTCTAATATCTAACAAACCGAGGGGCATCCAAAACGGCCATATGGGGGGTCGCCTTAAAACCGCCTACCTTCTCTGGTCCAAACAAATCCAGAGCATTCAGGAGCAGAATCTAAAGTTAGAAGGAGGACATACTGGCTGCTGCATTGTTTTCAGAGAAGCCAGCACTTCAACATAGCATGTTTCCTTAATGTCTGATCAGAGAGTAAGATACCTTTATCATTTCACTCTCTACACATCTCACTGATTGCTCCTTTAAGAAATAGACACAGAAAGCGTTGTGAATTATTACCTCACAGAGTTCATTGCTGTGGAAACCTTCAGTGAGAGAAGCATCTTTGGGCCGAGCCGCACACATTAATACACCTCATGATGTTATGGAAGAATGAGACTGAGAAATATTTAGATAAGCTCTGAGAGGAGGAGGGGGGGGGGGCAGTTAGCCGTTAAAGCCCCAGCTATGGGACCATGGAGCTGCTGACTGTTAATAGATCCTCTTTGTGTCCTACTTCAGTATATCCTCATGTTAAGGGGACCTGTGGCCCTTTCTCTCTCTATTGAAGCATCGTGTGCTCTTAATGTTTAACTTTATTGAGGTGTTGTTTGTATACATGTACAGTGTGCATACTCTCTGCCTTTTTTATGTTTACAACTCATTGAGAGTGTTTACATTGACTGGAGTATCCCGGTTATGATCCTCATCCTGGTTTATGATCATAATCAGGATCTGGTGTTTACCTATAGAGGAACCTGGTTATTCACATGTAGACATGATAAATACTAGAATCCTGGTTTTTGTTTACTGCATCTTATTTTAGAACTCTGAGGCTCAACATTCTACAATTCACTTAGCAGACTCTTTTATCCAAAGCGACGTACATCAGAGAGTAAGTACAACACAAGCAAGGATCTAGAAAAAAGGGAACAATGTCAGTAAGAGCAAACGATCAGCTTTGAGTCCGATTGGACACACAGGTGCTGACAGGAAGTGACCAGAGGCAAAGCACAACATTGAGGGCAGTTCTTGAGAGCTCTAATCAGTATAGAAACCATCTTATAAGTCGTCGTTATCAAACAAAAACCATCGTCATTACCATCATCATCATCAATAATATGGAGACCATCATCATTAAGTTAGTAGGTATTCATGAAAGAGCTGGGTCTTTAGCTTTTTCTTAAAGGTGCAGGGGGACTCTGCAGATCCAATGGAGTTTGGAAGTTCCACCACCGGGGGGCGACAGAGGAGAAGAGTCTAGTCAGAGACTTAGGACCCTGTTGTGAAGGTTGGATCAGGCGCCTTTCATTGGCAGAGTGTAGTGCGCGGGAGGGAGTGTAGACCTGGATCAGAGAGTTAAAGTAAGGAGGAGCCTATATCCATTGTATGTCCAGCAATGGAAATGACAAAACTCAGGTCGTGCCTGTGCAGGAAGTCTGCAGCTGTCAGAAACCGGAGTAAGGCGTATTCATGCTACAGTATCCTGTTTGAGTGCTCCAGGTAGAAAAACCAGGTTTCTCAAAATCAGGATAAGGGCTTATCCTGGTTACTGAAATCGAGGTATGATGTTTACATGCACAAACAGAAGAACCAGGGTACTTTCAAAAACCGGGAAACTCAAATCCATGTAAACCCACTTATTGACACACTGATCTGTGGATGTGTTGAAGACGGCTGTTTTTTGGGGGATTGGCATTAATGCTTGAAGTTTATAATTTGGCTAAAACCTTCATCACACCAACGACCCTGAAAGTGAGCCGGTGTTCTGTTGAAATGTGCTGCCCTGTCGAAAAAATGCTACCATAGCGCCAAACGATAGCAGAGGCTATCTGTATCCCCGATCAAAATACTTTCATATTAATCCACTGCTCACTCTACTGTATATGCATCCTCAGAGTCTGGGGGGGCAAGGTTTGGTACTCTGCTGTTCAACATTTCAGGAGGAGAATATCTCGATGGACACTAATCCATCAAATAATGCTCCCTGTTCTGCACAGAGCGGCATGCTAGCACATCTGGACGGGGCAGCACTTTTCACCAGCACGACGGAAAACATCAGCAGGTGGACACAATCAGCAACCGCACACTTACACACTTACACACTTACACACAGGCATGCCAGAAGACCTCCCCTATGTTAATATTTACAGGACTGTCAGTTGGTTTACCTCTCTGAAAACCCCATCAGAGAGACGCGCCGCGGCCCCGGCTCCATTAAGAGCTTTAGAGAAGTCTCTCCGTCGCTCTAGGAAAAAACATGTCAGCTTAAGAAGTGCCATTAGACGTGTGTGCTTTAGATCTCCCAGACCCATCTCCCCCTCCCCTCTTAGTGACCCACATGCAGGCATCATTTTAACTTGCTGCCTGCTTCCAAACTCACCTTCTTCACCTCACCTAACCTTCTCTCCCCGATGCTTCGATTAACCAGACTTTGAACTGCTCTTCTCTCTGTTCAATTCCCAAGCACACAAGGCAAATCCGTTTAGGACGGGCATTTGATCCAATCTGCAGTTTGCATCTGCCTCACTGACGTCCTGTATCTCCCATAACCCCCTTTGGCTTCTGCGTCTGGCTTTAATGAGGAAGTAATGAGTCTCCTCTCCTCCCCATTGGTCGTTCATCGGCTGCATCTTCCCCGTTCCCTCCGTTCGGGCCTCGTCACTGGCGACTAAAATAATTATGACCGGACAGCAAAAATGCCCTCTACACTACGTCAGCTATTCTCAACAAGGCTTCAGAAATATGGATTTCACCTGTAGGACGATTTCTTCAACACAGGTACATTCACAAATCTAAAAAGAAATGTAGAAAGCAAATGTACACACCACGCCGAGGGGGTGCAGACGGAGCACTGAGGGAATGCTACTTTCAAAATCATGCTAGTTTTAGAAAATGACCAACCCTGCCTAGTAGTCTTGAGCCTTTAATCAAACAGGAAGTAATCAAACTAGGGGGATGTTAAACACTTGATGGTCGCACAAGCCTCATGCTGAGGTGCTTCCTCATTGGCTCAGACTTCTGAGGAGGCCGGTCATAAATGATTTGTTTCAAAATAAACACCTGAACCTATTTTCTGTCCGTGGACAGACGTCAGAGTCTCTCTGAGCTCCGACCTTTAGCGGCTCAAGGTTCACGGGTATTTTTGTTAGACTGAGTCACCCTGACGCCATGTTTATTCAACACACACACACACACACACACACACACACACACACACACACACACACGTTGCTCTGGCTTAGCTGCTGGTTTTTTCTTCTCTGTCTATATGCAGCTGATCCTCCTCACACTAAAGACGTCTAAAAAATTATGTTCAGACACATCCGAACCACACTCTATCCTTATTTTACACACACACACAGACACACACAGACACACATTGCCTTGCATTAAACGGGCCGGGTCGGGCATGTCCTTGCATGCCAAGTGTCCCACAGCACCACCTAATCCATTCTGTGTGTTTTCAATCATCACACACTGAAACAGAAAACGTCCCCGCTCACCGTTTTTGTTCGTCACTCGCTCGTTCTCTCTCGCGCTTCAAAGGGCCTCGCAGTATACGTGGATCTCTGTGTTGTCGTTGTGAAATTTTTCTGTCCATCCGTTGAAAAGTTAGGACTTTATATTTTTATTATATATATATATATATATATATATATAAATATATATATAAATATCTATGAGAGGGAGTCTGTGTGTTAAATACTGTATATAAAAATGTCTGTATTCTGCGGCGTTGGTGGGAGAGAATGCGGCAACGGCGGCGGCTTTGTCGTGTTTGGAGCATGTTTGCGCTGTCTACCACGGACTTGTACCTTCGCAGACCTGCTGAACAAGAATCATAAACATCAATAAAGATATCCATGTAACGTCGTGTCTGTGTTTTTATTAAAGGGGACATATTATGAAAAATCATCTTCTACAGTGTTTTTGAACATATATTTGGGTAACCTGAGAGTCTACTGACCCACACAATGTGAAATAAACCCATCCAGTCCTTTGTTTATGGTCTGCATAAGTCTTACAACACAGAGAAAAATGCTCTGTTTCAAATGTGCTCTCCTTGTGATGTCACAGTGGGATTCTGGTAAGAAAAAAATCCCTCCCCTCCCCTGGTATCTCCCCCCATGGACTCCAGCCCCCAGACACACTCCAAACGGAGCGTTCTGAGAGAGCTGGTTTCTACAGGGTCACAAACCTCCTCTGGTGCTTGATTCATGTTATATTTTGACCAAAGCACAGCACAGATGTTTCATTTAGACCACAGGGGACTGTTTGAAAAGGTGGAGAAGGGGGATAGTATGTCCTCTTTAAGAGAGGTGTGATTGCCTTAAAGGTTGGTGGTTTTTTCTGTATTTGAGAAGCTGTGAGCTGACTGTCGGGGGGAAACATGAGCAGAATGTTTT